TTCAGGGAGTAGCTCAACTTTAATTCCAAAGAACAAAGGCCCTACACCCCTTGGGGAGCGGGTGAAAGGCTCCAAGGATAGGTGTACGTAATTGGTTAAAACTTCAAGGATGCTTGATTTGCATTAAGCAGCACGTTCCTATCACAGGAACAGGGACACAGTACCTAATTATCCTATAAGGCACAGGGAAGGGAGAGCTCGCAGGGAGCCGTGTCGAAGTCCGGAGATTGAATATAGTTAAGGGCATCTATGTATTGAGATGCTCTCCAGATGGAAGTCAGGCAGAAAGCAGGAGGCCCTGTTGGAGATAGGGAGCCCCGCACCTTAAGGCCGCTGAGCTCAGAATGGCTATCCAGACTGGGGTAGGAATGCAACCTCAAACAGCAGGGTCAAATATCCCTAGATCTTCCCCCAAAGTTCTATATAACACTCATTCACCGGAATAAAACTAATCTGCCTCCCTGAAGCTGGCTCCAGAACTCGTCATTTCCACCTGACTTAAGGGGCTCCGAACTTCCTGTCAGTCGCCCCTGCACCCTTTGCCCTTGTGGACTGGTATGAGAGCAGGGAGAGCCACACACCCACCTTTCACAGTGCTCTAGAACACAAGTCCAGTCCTGGGCCTTTGTTACAAAGGCTTCCTGTCCTAAAAAAACACCTGGGAACATGTGGAGGCTTTGTTCCTTGAATCCCTACACTTGGGAGGCAGAGGCAGGCAGGTCTCTATGAGTTCAAGGCCAGCCTGGTCTATTTAGCAAGTCCCAGGTTAGCCAGGGCTACACAGTGAGAAACTGCCTCAAATAATGCCAACTGCATTCTACTACAAACGTTCATGTCAAATGCAGTATTCAAAATGTGGCCCCAAATCTGTTCTCATACAAATCAGCCACATGAAACCACAGGTGTTCATTCATTTGTGTCACCTGGAGTTACAACATGCCAGGAATGAACTGTAGTGAACTATGACCTGCTCCTGATAAGGTACTTAGGCCTCCTTGGTTGTAAAGGTAACTTCTGCTAACTTTTAGCTGGAATTCAAAGCCTGAATGGATAAATCAAACTCCCTGATGACTATTAACCCCAGCAAATGTCAATTCTGCTCCTGCTGTCCCCATCTTTTCTTTCATACTTAAATACTCTCAGCCCTGGTGTACTACATTTTTCTCTTCCCAGATTTTTTTTGGGCATTTAAGCTCATCACCGCCAGCATATACAACTTCTCTAGAAAGTGTTAGCATATACAGACACACCTCTTAGCATGTACTTAAGTCCTACAGGACTGATGGAAAGGACAATACTTTTAAGGTTTATGTCCATCTTACAGTCATGGATGTTTTCCTGTATGCATGTCTATGTGCAGTATGTGCGATTAGTGCCCATCCAGGCCAGGAGAGGGCCATGGAGTCCCTGGAACTGAAACTACCAATCTTTGTGAGCTGTCATGTGGGTGCTAGGTATCAGACAGGAGTCCTCCAGAGGAGAAGCAAATGCTTTTAACAGCTGAGCCATCTCGCCAGCTTTGACTTAGGACTATCTTAAATAGGCTCCCAATAAGGAAAACTTAAACTAGATTCAATATTAAGACACTTCCAAGCAAGCTGTTTACTTCATCACACTCACACAGACAAAACAGACACTAGTTGCTGTGGCAAAGCTGGGAAGGAAGGGAAACGGAATACTGACTTGTCCAGCTGGGTTTCTGGAACTACACTGGGGAACTTTCCAGTCAGTACAACCTAGAGAAAGGTAGGCTTCCTCCCCATCTGCACCTCAGGAGCTGAAGGCCTTAAACTCTCTCCTCCAGGTGTTTTACCAGTACTGCACAGAGATGACCTCAACCCAGAGGGTAGGCCCTGGATTCCAGCCACACCATTCCTAAACCATGTTTTCCACAACACCGCTCCCAAACAAAAGAAAGCTAGGAAAAAAAACAGCATCTTGCAGCTTCTCATTCAGGAAAAATACACATTTAGCTGAAAATATTTGTTCTTAAATGTTCTTCATCAAGCTGAGGTTCTACTAATGAGCATGCAGACATTATTTCCAACCTCCAAATACTTAATAGTTCTGTGTTGCCTGAAACTTTAATTCCCCTGTCTTTGCCATCCCTTAGGGCTGGGATTACAGGTATGTGTCATGCCTGGCTCCCTACATGTTATTTCTAACATATTAGAAAAAAAGTATTGCAAATAATTAACATATAGTTAATCCAGGTGTAACTGTGTTCATTATCCCCAAGATCAAACTCTTCTTCCAGAAGACTAACGCTTATCAAATGGTAAGGTGAATTTTTGGACCACCTACAAAACAACGAGGTACAAACAAGCCACATCAATCCCACACCACACCATTCTCTAATAATGGGAGACACTACTACCTAAGATAGAGCATTAGGACAGAGTGAAAAGGAGAAAATCTGAAGCCATGGTCTTCAAGCTCAGTCTTGCATCAGGCTCCCAAAGACTAGATTACACACCAAAATGGATTAACTCCTACTGAAGTTAGCCAAACTGAAGCTGAGTTGTTATCTGACCTTCAGAAAGATCTGATAACAACCAATTTCCCCAGCAAGCCATTTCATTCCACAAGACAATGATTTTCCCTCAGTGTTAAGCTTTGGCAGACCCTATCGTAAAGTGATCTGCTGTGGAACTAGATATTTCTCTATCAACATATTCCAGATTCCGTTTTTGCAAGGGAAGTAACTTTAAATCCACCAATCCCCTTCATCCTCTGTTTTCAGTCCTTTTCTGTTCCATAAAAGGAAGTTTCAACCTCACTAAAAGCAGTATTTTCAGAATTCTGAAAATGAAAATGTGAAATGTAACCAGCAAGAGAGGACAGGGCACCTCATTCCTCAGAATGACAAGAGAATGGCAGGGCCTCAAGCACACAGCTTCCCCAAGGGTTACTGGCATTCTGCACTGCAGTCTGCTGGCAATTAAAGGCACTTCTAAACAGCCAGGCCCCTCTCTATCCACTGATGGGGTAGGGGGGAGACGTGTGGGGTGGCAGCGTGCCACACAAAATGCCTTCACCACCTAAAACAACCTGCACTAGTAAAGAAACGTTTACATGGTAGTTACTCTGTTGTACTGGGAGGCCAAACCTGCAGGAGCTCTAGCTTCGGCCTCCTTCACTGTCTCAGACAGGATCTAAATCATGCAACCTGGCCTTAAATTTCCAATCTCCCCACCCCCAACAGTTGGGGTTACACTCCTGTAACCCCAGGATACACTAGGCCCAGTGATAGCACCATAAGGAATCTAGGGGTGACCAAATGTAAAGACTAGGTGTGGCTACAGGACAGCAACCTCTCACTATTTTACATGAGAGACTAGCAGCATCAGATCCTAGCTACCAGAAACCTTAGAACCCACAACCTTGAACACTAAAAGTGGAATTTACTACAGAAATTCCAGAAATAAGATATATTTTTAAAAAATCGTAAGTACGGCTCAGCGGCTAGAAGCACTCACTGGCTGTTCTTCCAGAAGACCCAGATTTGATTCCCAGCACCCACAAAGCACTCACAGCTGTCTAACTCCAGTCCCGAGAGTTCAGAGCCCTCTCCTGGACTCCTTGGGCAACACACACACACACACACACACACACACGGTTCACAAATATATATAGACAACACATCCATACACATACCTTTCAAAAATCCCAAGTATAAAAAGATGGCCCCTCACTGGCTTGCACTCCAGGATGAAATAGGACATTGAGTTCAAGGCCAGTCTGGAGTACAGGAGACTTCATAAAAATTAATTCAGATTGAAAGCCCTTTTGCTTGGTCCATTTTATAGGCGTTTCAGTAGGATTTTAAGCTAATTCTACTTTAACCTATTGTAAGAAACGCTACACATTGTTATAAACGTAGCAGGCAACACAATTATCAAATCTGATAACGAACATCCTATAAACCACTCACCAATTTTTTCGTGTTTGCCCATTAACTAATATTGAAGGGATGAAAAGGAAGACTAAAGACGCGCCTCTGCTCTATCTTTCCAAAATTTCACCACCTAAAAGTGTGCTCAGGATGTGTAGGTAAAACGTCTAAGATCCGGTTTCATTTTCACTGCCTAACAAAAGCTATGCAGAAGGTAATTACTCTCCATCAATCCTTTCAGGCTGCAGTTTCTTCCAGAAAATTCCAAGGAAAGTTACTGAGGTATTCGCATTTCGGTACGGCTACCATCTTCCGCACTAGTCACACTGGAATCCTTTACAACACTTAAACGTACCCGGTATGGCTTTTGGATATGCACGATAAATAAACAAACCTTTAACCAGGAGTAAGACTTCACACCCAGAAAAACCCTTACAAAACCCGAACCCCAATTCACAAATTATCAAAACCCGATCAATATAAAAACAATTGCGTAAACAAACTTTGAGATGCGCAGGCAACGACGTGGATGACTGAAACCATTTCCCAACCCGACACCCCCTCCTCCCGGGAAGGCCCACAACGCACCAACCGTGCAGGAAGCCGCCAGGGACCGCGACCCCCGGGGCTGCGCAGCATCCGCACCGCACATGGATGCCGGCGCATTCCGGGAGGCGAACCCAAGGTCACGCGGGCCTGCGCCCTGAGACCCCCGTCAGGGCGTCACCGGGGTGACCCGCCGCGGGGGTCCCGCCACGCCCCTCCCCCGCCCGGTTACGCAATGCCCCCGCCCCCGCCCCCCGCCCGGCACGGAACAAAGCGCGCGGGAAGCGGCCGCGGGGCTGGGGCAGGGACCCCGCGAGCGCCATGTTGGCGGGGGCGGCGGGGACCGGGCGGGGGCGACGAACAAAGAAACTCGCGCCCGCCCCGGCCCCAGCCCGCCGCGCCCCGACCCCACCGAGCCCGGCCGGCAGGGGGCGCTGAGGGGCGCCGCCCGCGGACAATGCGCCCGGGGCCCGCGGGCTGTGCTCACCTGGGTCCGCGCGCCGTGAGGCCCACTCGCTTTCCCCTCACAGCCCCGCACCCGGCCCCGCGGGCGTCTCACCTGTCGGCCCCCGAGGCTGCCCACGGGGCCGCCGTGGCTCGCTCGCGCTCCCCGCCGGCCCAGCCCGAGCCAGACGGCGCCTCCCCACCC